TCTGACTAGAGTAAAAATGTTCATCAGGTTAAGATCTATCTGCCCTGAAATTGTCAGATGAATCAGACAACCCGTTGTTGGGTTGCTGCCCCTGAATTAGTAATTTTAAGGAAATTTTGCAGCTTTTTGTTATCTTGAATATTATTATAGATGAAGATAAACTGTAAACAGCCATTATGTTCAGCAAAGTCAGATCTACAAAGAAGTCAACATGACCAATATGGTCAATTGACCCCATAAGGAGTTATTGCCCTTTAAAGTCAAATTTAACAATTATTCGTAAATTTTTGTATTCTTTTACAAAAATCTTCTCTCCTGAAACAACTGAGACAAATTTAACCAAACTTGGCCACAATCATCACTAGGGTATCTAGTTTAATAAATGTGTCCGATGACCCTGCCTGCCAACCAACATGTCAGACATGGCTAAAAATAGAACTTTGGGGGAAAATGCAGTTTTTGACTTGTATCTCTGAAACTAAAGCAAATGTATAACGGTTGCATTATTTCATGCATCAATTGTAAATAAAAATATCAGGTGAGCGACACAGGCTCCTTGGAGCCTCTAGTATTTGTTGGGCATTAAAATCAGTTTTCACTGAAACAACAGATTGAAGCTTTATAACAAATTGGTCTAAAATTTCTTTTATTCCTATTTATATTCTTATGAAGTATATTTTAATAAGAATGTATAGTTATTGTAAATATACGTCTCCAATTTAGGATTTGACATAAAACATGCATCACATTAATTTCTGAATTGATTGCAACAGCAAAAAGCTTTGATTTTGAAGCTGAAACTAATTTAAAATATTTGGTTTTTTTTGTACAGATACTGCCTAAATATGTAAGACTCCTATACCATGAAAGATGCTTCCATTGCAGATAGCACATTAGGATGTTGCATATGTAGGTATTTATTCATAACAATTGTTCTTAAAACTATGTTTATATTTGTTAGGTAATAAAAATCAGTTTTTCCTGGAACAACAGCTTGAAATTTGATTACAAATTGGTCCTACATTACATTTATTGAAATATTCACTGTAATGAGATATATTTTAATAAGAATGTATAGTGATTGTAAAAATTCTGTCTCCAATTAAGGATTTGACATTACAACATGCATCACATTAATTTCTGAATTGATTGCAACAGCAAATAGTCTGGATTAAAAGCTGAAATTAATGTTTATTTTTTTTTGTTTTCATTACAGATACAGCCTAAATATCTAAGACTCCTATACCATGAAAGATGCTTCCATTGCAGATGCACATTAGGATAAGTCACATGTACGTATTTGGTCATTACAATTTTCCTTCAAACTATATTTATATTTGTTAGGTAATAAAAATCAGTTTTTTCCTGAAACAACAGATTGAAGCTTTATAACAAATTGGTCTAAAATTTCTTTCATTCAAATTTATACTCTAATGCTGAATATTTTAATAAGAACGTATAGTAATTGTAATTATATACTTTTCTCTATTTTGGGATTTAACATAAAACATGCATCACATTATTTTCTGAATTGATTGCAACAGCAAAGAGTCTGGATTTAAAGCGTAAACTAATTAATAATTTTTGTTTTTGTTACAGATTATACAGCCTTAATATGTAACACTCCTATACCATGAAAGATGCTTTCACACATTAGGATGTTGCACATGTAGGTATTTGGTCATTACAATTGTTCTTAAAACTATGTTTATGTTTGTTAGGTAATAAAAATCCGTTTTTTCCTGAACAGTTTGACAAAACGATGCTTTATGTTAAAATGGGTCTCGTAAAAGCAGACCTCTGCAGAGAGCAAACTTTAGATTTTGATATAACATTGATGAATTTAATGGGCGCTAATCTCGTAAAAGCAGATCCCCCAGCAGAGCTGATTACATAGTATGATAACTTGTGTTTATGGTAAAATGTATTTAGTTTTTTTGTCTGGCTCTATTTCATTATCAACCAATTTGAAACTTTATTACAAATTGGTCTCAAAAAAATTTCTTCAAATTTATACTCTAATGAAATATATTCTTAATGACTGAGCTGAAGGATGCCTCCGGGTGCGGGAATTTCTCGCTACATTGAAGACCTGTTGGTGACCTTCTGCTGTTGTCTGTTCTATGGTCGGGTTGTTGTCTCTTTGACACATTCCCCATTTCCATTCTCAATTTTATTAATGGAATGTATAGTAATTATAAATATTCTTGTCCAACATGCAAAGATTAAATTCTGAAAAAATTGCAACAGCAAATAGTCTGTATTTAAAGCTGATATTAATTTATAGTTTTTGTTAAAGATACATCTAAATATGTTGCACTCCTAGACAGAGAAGATGGATTCATGGCAGATAGGAAGAGTCAACATGTAAGTATTTGGTCATTACAATTGTACTTAAAACTATGTTAATATTTGGAAGTCAATAAAAATCTGTTTTCACTGAAACAATAGCTTAAAATTTTTTTACAGATTGGTCTAAAATATCTTTTATTCAAATTTCAAATGTGGTATATTTTAATAAGAATGAAAGAGTAATTGTAAATTAATTGTCCGTAATTTAAGATTTGACATAAAACATGAATCACATTAATTTTTTTATTTTTTTAACAGCCATTAAATATTCTCTATCTAAAGCTGATGCTAATTTAAATTTTTTCTTATGTAACAGATACAGCCCAGATATGTTCCACTCCTACCCAATGAATATGGTTTCATGGTAGATGCACATTAGGATGTTTAACATGTAGGTAGTCATTACAATTGTACTTTAGACTATGTTTATATGTGTTGGGTAATAAATATCAGTTTTACCTGGAACAACAGCTTAAATAAAATTTTATTTCAAATTAGTGTACATATTTCTTTTGTTCAAATTTATAATCTAGTGAAGTAAATTTTAACATGAATGCGTAGTAATTTTAAATATTCTTGTGTCCAATTTAGGATTTGACATAAAATATGAGTGACATTTATTTTATAATTGTTGCAACAGCCAATAGTCTCTATTTGAAGCTGATACTAATTGATGATTTGGTTTTGTTATAGATACAGCCATAATATGTTACACTCCTAGACAATGAAGATGGTTTCATGGTAGATTGATCACACATCTGGATACGTAGCATGTAGGTATTTGGTATTTTTAATTGTACTTTAAACTATGTTAAAATGGTTTGCAGGTAACAAAAATAAGTTTTCCCTGGAAGCTTAAATTAGATTTGATTACAAATTGATTACAAATTTCTTCAATTCAAATTTATACTCTTATGAAGATTATTTTAATGATAATGTATAGAAATTGTTTATATACTTGTCTTGAAATTAGGATTTTTCATCAAAAATGCATCATATTAATTTTGAATTAATTGCAACAACCAATATTCTCTATTTAAAGCTGATACTGATTTAGAGTTTTTGTTTTTTGTTACAGATACAGACTAGATATGTTACCCTCCTAGACAATGAAGATGCTTTCTTGGTTTACAGCACACGAAGATTTGTATCATGTAGGTATTTGGTCATTATAATTGTACTTTTAACTCTTTTTATATGTGTTGGGTAACAAAAATCAGTTTTCCCGTTGAACAACAGTTTGAAATTTTATTACAAATTTGTCGAACATTTCTTTTATTCAAATATTTACTGTAATAAGTTAAGTAATTGTAAATATTCTAGTCTCCAATTTAGGATTTGACATTAAACATGCATCACATTAATTTCTGAATTGATTGCAACATCAAATATTCCCTATTTAAAGCTGATACTAATTTACAATTTTTGTTTTTGTTACAGATAACGCCTAAATATGTTACACTCTTCGACAATGAAAATGGTTTCATTGTAGATAGCACATTAGGATTAGTCACATGTACGTATTTATTCATTACAATTTTTTTATTTAAACTAGGTTTATTAGCTCACCTGCAAGTGAGCTTTTCTCATCACTTGGCGTCCGTCGTCGTCCGTTAACTTTTACAAAAATCTCCTCTGAAACTACTGGGCCAAATTTAACCAAACTTGGCCACAATCATCACTAGGGTATCTAGTTTTAAAAATGTGTCCGATGACCCCGCCTGCCAACCAAGATGGCTGACATGGCTAAAAATAGAACATAGGGGTAAAATGCAGTTTTTGGCTTATATCTCTGAAACTCAAGCATTTAGAGCAAATCTGACTGAGTAAAAATGTTCATCAGGTTAAGATCTATCTGCCCTGAAATTGTCAGATGAATCAGACAACCCGTTGTTGGGTTGCTGCCCCTGAATTAGTAATTTTAAGGAAATTTTGCAGCTTTTTGTTATCTTGAATATTATTATAGATGAAGATAAACTGTAAACAGCCATTATGTTCAGCAAAGTCAGATCTACAAAGAAGTCAACATGACCAATATGGTCAATTGACCCCATAAGGAGTTATTGCCCTTTAAAGTCAAATTTAACAATTATTCGTAAATTTTTGTATTCTTTTACAAAAATCTTCTCTCCTGAAACAACTGAGACAAATTTAACCAAACTTGGCCACAATCATCACTAGGGTATCTAGTTTAATAAATGTGTCCGATGACCCTGCCTGCCAACCAACATGTCAGACATGGCTAAAAATAGAACTTTGGGGGAAAATGCAGTTTTTGACTTGTATCTCTGAAACTAAAGCAAATGTATAACGGTTGCATTATTTCATGCATCAATTGTAAATAAAAATATCAGGTGAGCGACACAGGCTCCTTGGAGCCTCTAGTATTTGTTGGGCATTAAAATCAGTTTTCACTAAAACAACAGATTGAAGCTTTATAACAAATTGGTCTAAAATTTCTTTTATTCCTATTTATATTCTTATGAAGTATATTTTAATAAGAATGTATAGTTATTGTAAATATACGTCTCCAATTTAGGATTTGACATAAAACATGCATCACATTAATTTCTGAATTGATTGCAACAGCAAAAAGCTTTGATTTTGAAGCTGAAACTAATTTAAAATATTTGTTTTTTTTTGTACAGATACTGCCTAAATATGTAAGACTCCTATACCATGAAAGATGCTTCCATTGCAGATAGCACATTAGGATGTTGCACATGTAGGTATTTATTCATAACAATTGTTCTTAAAACTATGTTTATATTTGTTAGGTAATAAAAATCAGTTTTTCCTGGAACAACAGCTTGAAATTTGATTACAAATTGGTCCTACATTACATTTATTGAAATATTCACTGTAATGAGATATATTTTAATAAGAATGTATAGTGATTGTAAAAATTCTTGTCTCCAATTAAGGATTTGACATTACAACATGCATCACATTAATTTCTGAATTGATTGCAACAGCAAATAGTCTGGATTAAAAGCTGAAATTAATGTTTATTTTTTTTGTTTTCATTACAGATACAGCCTAAATATGTAAGACTCCTATACCATGAAAGATGCTTCCATTGCAGATGCACATTAGGATAAGTCACATGTACGTATTTGGTCATTACAATTTTCCTTCAAACTATATTTATATTTGTTAGGTAATAAAAATCAGTTTTTTCCTGAAACAACAGATTGAAGCTTTATAACAAATTGGTCTAAAATTTCTTTCATTCAAATTTATACTCTAATGCTGAATATTTTAATAAGAACGTATAGTAATTGTAATTATATACTTTTCTCTATTTTGGGATTTAACATAAAACATGCATCACATTATTTTCTGAATTGATTGCAACAGCAAAGAGTCTGGATTTAAAGCGTAAACTAATTAATAATTTTTGTTTTTGTTGCAGATTATACAGCCTTAATATGTAACACTCCTATACCATGAAAGATGCTTTCACACATTAGGATGTTGCACATGTAGGTATTTGGTCATTACAATTGTTCTTAAAACTATGTTTATGTTTGTTAGGTAATAAAAATCTGTTTTTTCCTGAACAGTTTGACAAAACGATGCTTTATGTTAAAATGGGTCTCGTAAAAGCAGACCTCTGCAGAGAGCAAACTTTAGATTTTGATATAACATTGATGAATTTAATGGGCGCTAATCTCGTAAAAGCAGATCCCCCAGCAGAGCTGATTACATAGTATGATAACTTGTGTTTATGGTAAAATGTATTTAGTTTTTTTGTCTGGCTCTATTTCATTATCAACCAATTTGAAACTTTATTACAAATTGGTCTCAAAAAAATTTCTTCAAATTTATACTCTAATGAAATATATTCTTAATGACTGAGCTGAAGGACGCCTCCGGGTGCGGGAATTTCTCGCTACATTGAAGACCTGTTGGTGACCTTCTGCTGTTGTCTGTTCTATGGTCGGGTTGTTGTCTCTTTGACACATTCCCCATTTCCATTCTCAATTTTATTAATGGAATGTATAGTAATTATAAATATTCTTGTCCAACATGCAAAGATTAAATTCTGAAAAAATTGCAACAGCAAATAGTCTGTATTTAAAGCTGATATTAATTTATAGTTTTTGTTAAAGATACATCTAAATATGTTGCACTCCTAGACAGAGAAGATGGATTCATGGCAGATAGGAAGAGTCAACATGTAAGTATTTGGTCCTTACAATTGTACTTAAAACTATGTTAATATTTGGAAGTCAATAAAAATCTGTTTTCACTGAAACAATAGCTTAAAATTTTTTTACAGATTGGTCTAAAATATCTTTTATTCGAATTTCAAATGTGGTATATTTTAATAAGAATGAAAGAGTAATTGTAAATTAATTGTCCGTAATTTAAGATTTGACATAAAACATGAATCACATTAATTTTTTTATTTTTTTAACAGCCATTAAATATTCTCTATCTAAAGCTGATGCTAATTTAAATTTTTTCTTATGTAACAGATACAGCCCAGATATGTTCCACTCCTACCCAATGAATATGGTTTCATGGTAGATGCACATTAGGATGTTTAACATGTAGGTAGTCATTACAATTGTACTTTAGACTATGTTTATATGTGTTGGGTAATAAATATCAGTTTTACCTGGAACAACAGCTTAAATAAAATTTTATTTCAAATTAGTGTACATATTTCTTTTGTTCAAATTTATAATCTAGTGAAGTAAATTTTAACATGAATGCGTAGTAATTTTAAATATTCTTGTGTCCAATTTAGGATTTGACATAAAATATGAGTGACATTTATTTTATAATTGTTGCAACAGCCAATAGTCTCTATTTGAAGCTGATACTAATTGATGATTTGGTTTTGTTATAGATACAGCCATAATATGTTACACTCCTAGACAATGAAGATGGTTTCATGGTAGATTGATCACACATCTGGATACGTAGCATGTAGGTATTTGGTATTTTTAATTGTACTTTAAACTATGTTTATATGGTTTGCAGGTAACAAAAATAAGTTTTCCCTGGAAGCTTAAATTAGATTTGATTACAAATTGATTTAAAATTTCTTCAATTCAAATTTATACTCTTATGAAGATTATTTTAATGATAATGTATAGAAATTGTTTATATACTTGTCTTCAAATTAGGATTTTTCATCAAAAATGCATCATATTAATTTTGAATTAATTGCAACAACCAATATTCTCTATTTAAAGCTGATACTGATTTAGAGTTTTTGTTTTTGTTACAGATACAGACTAGATATGTTACCCTCCTAGACAATGAAGATGCTTTCATGGTATACAGCACACGAAGATTTGTATCATGTAGGTATTTGGTCATTATAATTGTACTTTTAACTCTTTTTATATGTGTTGGGTAACAAAAATCAGTTTTCCCTTTGAACAACAGTTTGAAATTTTATTACAAATTTGTCGAACATTTCTTTTATTCAAATATTTACTGTAATAAGTTAAGTAATTGTAAATATTCTAGTCTCCAATTTAGGATTTGACATTAAACATGCATCACATTAATTTCTGAATTGATTGCAACATCAAATATTCCCTATTTAAAGCTGATACTAATTTACAATTTTTGTTTTTGTTACAGATAGCGCCTAAATATGTTACACTCTTCGACAATGAAAATGGTTTCATTGTAGATAGCACATTAGGATTAGTCACATGTACGTATTTATTCATTACAATTTTTTTATTTAAACTAGGTTTATTAGCTCACCTGGCCCACAGGGCCAAGTGAGCTTTTCTCATCACTTGGCGTCCGTCGTTGTCCGTTAACTTTTACAAAAATCTCCTCTGAAACTACTGGGCCAAATTTAACCAAACTTGGCCACAATCATCACTAGGGTATCTAGTTTTAAAAATGTGTCCGATGACCCTGCCTGCCAACCAAGATGGCCGACATGGCTAAAAATAGAACATAGGGGTAAAATGCAGTTTTTGGCTTATATCTCTGAAACTCAAGCATTTAGAGCAAATCTGACTAGAGTAAAAATGTTCATCAGGTTAAGATCTATCTGCCCTGAAATTGTCAGATGAATCAGACAACCCATTGTTGGGTTGCTGCCCCTGAATTAGTAATTTTAAGGAAATTTTGCAGCTTTTTGTTATCTTGAATATTATTATAGATGAAGATAAACTGTAAACAGCCATTATGTTCAGCAAAGTCAGATCTACAAAGAAGTCAACATGACCAATATGGTCAATTGACCCAATAAGGAGTTATTGCCCTTTAAAGTCAAATTTAACAATTATTCGTAAATTTTTGTATTCTTTTACAAAAATCTTCTCTCCTGAAACAACTGAGACAAATTTAACCAAACTTGGCCACAATCATCACTAGGGTATCTAGTTTAATAAATGTGTCCGATGACCCTGCCTGCCAACCAACATGTCAGACATGGCTAAAAATAGAACATTGGGGGAAAATGCAGTTTTTGACTTGTATCTCTGAAACTAAAGCAAATGTATAACGGTTGCATTATTTCATGCATCAATTGTAAATAAAAATATCAGGTGAGCGACACAGGCTCCTTGGAGCCTCTAGTATTTGTTGGGCATTAAAATCAGTTTTCACTGAAACAACAGATTGAAGCTTTATAACAAATTGGTCTAAAATTTCTTTTATTCCTATTTATATTCTTATGAAGTATATTTTAATAAGAATGTATAGTTATTGTAAATATACGTCTCCAATTTAGGATTTGACATAAAACATGCATCACATTAATTTCTGAATTGATTGCAACAGCAAAAAGCTTTGATTTTGAAGCTGAAACTAATTTAAAATATTTGTTTTTTTTGTACAGATACTGCCTAAATATGTAAGACTCCTATACCATGAAAGATGCTTCCATTGCAGATAGCACATTAGGATGTTGCACATGTAGGTATTTATTCATAACAATTGTTCTTAAAACTATGTTTATATTTGTTAGGTAATAAAAATCAGTTTTTCCTGGAACAACAGCTTGAAATTTGATTACAAATTGGTCCTACATTACATTTATTGAAATATTCACTGTAATGAGATATATTTTAATAAGAATGTATAGTGATTGTAAAAATTCTTGTCTCCAATTAAGGATCTGACATTACAACATGCATCACATTAATTTCTGAATTGATTGCAACAGCAAATAGTCTGGATTAAAAGCTGAAATTAATGTTTATTTTTTTTGTTTTCATTACAGATACAGCCTAAATATGTAAGACTCCTATACCATGAAAGATGCTTCCATTGCAGATGCACATTAGGATAAGTCACATGTACGTATTTGGTCATTACAATTTTCCTTCAAACTATATTTATATTTGTTAGGTAATAAAAATCAGTTTTTTCCTGAAACAACAGATTGAAGCTTTATAACAAATTGGTCTAAAATTTCTTTCATTCAAATTTATACTCTAATGCTGAATATTTTAATAAGAATGTATAGTAATTGTAATTATATACTTTTCTCTATTTTGGGATTTAACATAAAACATGCATCACATTATTTTCTGAATTGATTGCAACAGCAAAGAGTCTGGATTTAAAGCGTAAACTAATTAATAATTTTTGTTTTTGTTACAGATTATACAGCCTTAATATGTAACACTCCTATACCATGAAAGATGCTTTCACACATTAGGATGTTGCACATGTAGGTATTTGGTCATTACAATTGTTCTTAAAACTATGTTTATGTTTGTTAGGTAATAAAAATCCGTTTTTTCCTGAACAGTTTGACAAAACGATGCTTTATGTTAAAATGGGTCTCGTAAAAGCAGACCTCTGCAGAGAGCAAACTTTAGATTTTGATATAACATTGATGAATTTAATGGGCGCTAATCTCGTAAAAGCAGATCCCCAGCAGAGCTGATTACATAGTATGATAACTTGTGTTTATGGTAAAATGTATTTAGTTTTTTTGTCTGGCTCTATTTCATTATCAACCAATTTGAAACTTTATTACAAATTGGTCTCAAAAAAATTTCTTCAAATTTATACTCTAATGAAATATATTCTTAATGACTGAGCTGAAGGACGCCTCCGGGTGCGGGAATTTCTCGCTACATTGAAGACCTGTTGGTGACCTTCTGCTGTTGTCTGTTCTATGGTCGGGTTGTTGTCTCTTTGACACATTCCCCATTTCCATTCTCAATTTTATTAATGGAATGTATAGTAATTATAAATATTCTTGTCCAACATGCAAAGATTAAATTCTGAAAAAATTGCAACAGCAAATAGTCTGTATTTAAAGCTGATATTAATTTATAGTTTTTGTTAAAGATACATCTAAATATGTTGCACTCCTAGACAGAGAAGATGGATTCATGGCAGATAGGAAGAGTCAACATGTAAGTATTTGGTCATTACAATTGTACTTAAAACTATGTTAATATTTGGAAGTCAATAAAAATCTGTTTTCACTGAAACAATAGCTTAAAATTTTTTTACAGATTGGTCTAAAATATCTTTTATTCGAATTTCAAATGTGGTATATTTTAATAAGAATGAAAGAGTAATTGTAAATTAATTGTCCGTAATTTAAGATTTGACATAAAACATGAATCACATTAATTTTTTTATTTTTTTAACAGCCATTAAATATTCTCTATCTAAAGCTGATGCTAATTTAAATTTTTTCTTATGTAACAGATACAGCCCAGATATGTTCCACTCCTACCCAATGAATATGGTTTCATGGTAGATGCACATTAGGATGTTTAACATGTAGGTAGTCATTACAATTGTACTTTAGACTATGTTTATATGTGTTGGGTAATAAATATCAGTTTTACCTGGAACAACAGCTTAAATAAAATTTTATTTCAAATTAGTGTACATATTTCTTTTGTTCAAATTTATAATCTAGTGAAGTAAATTTTAACATGAATGCGTAGTAATTTTAAATATTCTTGTGTCCAATTTAGGATTTGATATAAAATATGAGTGACATTTATTTTATAATTGTTGCAACAGCCAATAGTCTCTATTTGAAGCTGATACTAATTGATGATTTGGTTTTGTTATAGATACAGCCATAATATGTTACACTCCTAGACAATGAAGATGGTTTCATGGTAGATTGATCACACATCTGGATACGTAGCATGTAGGTATTTGGTTTTTTCAATTGTACTTTAAACTATGTTAAAATGGTTTGCAGGTAACAAAAATAAGTTTTCCCTGGAAGCTTAAATTAGATTTGATTACAAATTGATTACAAATTTCTTCAATTCAAATTTATACTCTTATGAAGATTATTTTAATGATAATGTATAGAAATTGTTTATATACTTGTCTTCAAATTAGGATTTTTCATCAAAAATGCATCATATTAATTTTGAATTAATTGCAACAACCAATGTTCTCTATTTAAAGCTGATACTGATTTAGAGTTTTTGTTTTTTGTTACAGATACAGACTAGATATGTTACCCTCCTAGACAATGAAGATGCTTTCATGGTATACAGCACACGAAGATTTGTATCATGTAGGTATTTGGTCATTATAATTGTACTTTTAACTCTTTTTATATGTGTTGGGTAACAAAAATCAGTTTTCCCGTTGAACAACAGTTTGAAATTTTATTACAAATTTGTCGAACATTTCTTTTATTCAAATATTTACTGTAATAAGTTAAGTAATTGTAAATATTCTAGTCTCCAATTTAGGATTTGACATTAAACATGCATCACATTAATTTCTGAATTGATTGCAACATCAAATATTCCCTATTTAAAGCTGATACTAATTTACAATTTTTGTTTTTGTTACAGATAACGCCTAAATATGTTACACTCTTCGACAATGAAAATGGTTTCATTGTAGATAGCACATTAGGATTAGTCACATGTACGTATTTATTCATTACAATTTTTTTATTTAAACTAGGTTTATTAGCTCACCTGCAAGTGAGCTTTTCTCATCACTTGGCGTCCGTCGTCGTCCGTTAACTTTTACAAAAATCTCCTCTGAAACTACTGGGCCAAATTTAACCAAACTTGGCCACAATCATCACTAGGGTATCTAGTTTTAAAAATGTGTCCGATGACCCCGCCTGCCAACCAAGATGGCCGACATGGCTAAAAATAGAACATAGGGGTAAAATGCAGTTTTTGGCTTATATCTCTGAAACTCAAGCATTTAGAGCAAATCTGACTAGAGTAAAAATGTTCATCAGGTTAAGATCTATCTGCCCTGAAATTGTCAGATGAATCAGACAACCCGTTGTTGGGTTGCTGCCCCTGAATTAGTAATTTTAAGGAAATTTTGCAGCTTTTTGTTATCTTGAATATTATTATAGATGAAGATAAACTGTAAACAGCCATTATGTTCAGCAAAGTCAGATCTACAAAGAAGTCAACATGACCAATATGGTCAATTGACCCCATAAGGAGTTATTGCCCTTTAAAGTCAAATTTAACAATTATTCGTAAATTTTTGTATTCTTTTACAAAAATCTTCTCTCCTGAAACAACTGAGACAAATTTAACCAAACTTGGCCACAATCATCACTAGGGTATCTAGTTTAATAAATGTGTCCGATGACCCTGCCTGCCAACCAACATGTCAGACATGGCTAAAAATAGAACTTTGGGGGAAAATGCAGTTTTTGACTTGTATCTCTGAAACTAAAGCAAATGTATAACGGTTGCATTATTTCATGCATCAATTGTAAATAAAAATATCAGGTGAGCGACACAGGCTCCTTGGAGCCTCTAGTATTTGTTGGGCATTAAAATCAGTTTTCACTGAAACAACAGATTGAAGCTTTATAACAAATTGGTCTAAAATTTCTTTTATTCCTATTTATATTCTTATGAAGTATATTTTAATAAGAATGTATAGTTATTGTAAATATACGTCTCCAATTTAGGATTTGACATAAAACATGCATCACATTAATTTCTGAATTGATTGCAACAGCAAAAAGCTTTGATTTTGAAGCTGAAACTAATTTAAAATATTTGTTTTTTTTTGTACAGATACTGCCTAAATATATAAGACTCCTATACCATGAAAGATGCTTCCATTGCAGATAGCACATTAGGATGTTGCACATGTAGGTATTTATTCATAACAATTGTTCTTAAAACTATGTTTATATTTGTTAGGTAATAAAAATCAGTTTTTCCTGGAACAACAGCTTGAAATTTGATTACAAATTGGTCCTACATTACATTTATTGAAATATTCACTGTAATGAGATATATTTTAATAAGAATGTATAGTGATTGTAAAAATTCTTGTCTCAAATTAAGGATTTGACATTGCAACATGCATCACATTAATTTCTGAATTGATTGCAACAGCAAATAGTCTGGATTAAAAGCTGAAATTAATGTTTATTTTTTTTGTTTTCATTACAGATACAGCCTAAATATGTAAGACTCCTATACCATGAAAGATGCTTCCATTGCAGATGCACATTAGGATAAGTCACATGTACGTATTTGGTCATTACAATTTTCCTTCAAACTATATTTATATTTGTTAGGTAATAAAAATCAGTTTTTTCCTGAAACAACAGATTGAAGCTTTATAACAAATTGGTCTAAAATTTCTTTCATTCAAATTTATACTCTAATGCTGAATATTTTAATAAGAACGTATAGTAATTGTAATTATATACTTTTCTCTATTTTGGGATTTAACATAAAACATGCATCACATTATTTTCTGAATTGATTGCAACAGCAAAGAGTCTGGATTTAAAGCGTAAACTAATTAATAATTTTTGTTTTTGTTACAGATTATACAGCCTTAATATGTAACACTCCTATACCATGAAAGATGCTTTCACACATTAGGACGTTGCACATGTAGGTATTTGGTCATTACAATTGTTCTTAAAACTATGTTTATGTTTGTTAGGTAATAAAAATCCGTTTTTTCCTGAACAGTTTGACAAAACGATGCTTTATGTTAAAATGGGTCTCGTAAAAGCAGACCTCTGCAGAGAGCAAACTTTAGATTTTGATATAACATTGATGAATTTAATGGGCGCTAATCTCGTAAAAGCAGATCCCCCAGCAGAGCGGATTACATAGTATGATAATTTGTGTTTATGGTAAAATGTATTTAGTTTTTTTGTCTGGCTCTATTTCATTATCAACCAATTTGAAACTTTATTACAAATTGGTCTCAAAAAAATTTCTTCAAATTTATACTCTAATGAAATATATTCTTAATGACTGAGCTGAAGGACGCCTCCGGGTGCGGGAATTTCTCGCTACATTGAAGACCTGTTGGTGACCTTCTGCTGTTGTCTGTTCTATGGTCGGGTTGTTGTCTCTTTGACACATTCCCCATTTCCATTCTCAATTTTATTAATGGAATGTATAGTAATTATAAATATTCTTGTCCAACATGCAAAGATTAAATTCTGAAAAAATTGCAACAGCAAATAGTCTGTATTTAAAGCTGATATTAATTTATAGTTTTTGTTAAAGATACATCTAAATATGTTGCACTCCTAGACAGAGAAGATGGATTCATGGCAGATAGGAAGAGTCAACATGTAAGTATTTGGTCCTTGCAATTGTACTTAAAACTATGTTAATATTTGGAAGTCAATAAAAATCTGTTTTCACTGAAACAATAGCTTAAAATTTTTTTACAGATTGGTCTAAAATATCTTTTATTCGAATTTCAAATGTGGTATATCTTAATAAGAATGAAAGAGTAATTGTAAATTAATTGTCCGTAATTTAAGATTTGACATAAAACATGAATCACATTAATTTTTTTATTTTTTTAACAGCCATTAAATATTCTCTATCTAAAGCTGATGCTAATTTAAATTTTTTCTTATGTAACAGATACAGCCCAGATATGTTCCACTCCTACCCAATGAATATGGTTTCATGGTAGATGCACATTAGGATGTTTAACATGTAGGTAGTCATTACAATTGTACTTTAGACTATGTTTATATGTGTTGGGTAATAAATATCAGTTTTACCTGGAACAACAGCTTAAATAAAATTTTATTTCAAATTAGTGTACATATTTCTTTTGTTCAAATTTATAATCTAGTGAAGTAAATTTTAACATGAATGCGTAGTAATTTTAAATATTCTTGTGTCCAATTTAGGATTTGACATAAAATATGAGTGACATTTATTTTATAATTGTTGCAACAGCCAATAGTCTCTATTTGAAGCTGATACTAATTGATGATTTGGTTTTGTTATAGATACAGCCATAATATGTTACACTCCTAGACAATGGAGATGGTTTCATGGTAGATTGATCACACATCTGGATACGTAGCATGTAGGTATTTGGTATTTTTAATTGTACTTTAAACTATGTTTATATGGTTTGCAGGTAACAAAAATAAGTTTTCCCTGGAAGCTTAAATTAGATTTGATTACAAATTGATTTAAAATTTCTTCAATTCAAATTTATACTCTTATGAAGATTATTTTAATGATAATGTATAGAAATTGTTTATATACTTGTCTTCAAATTAGGATTTTTCATCAAAAATGCATCATATTAATTTTGAATTAATTGCAACAACCAATATTCTCTATTTAAAGCTGATACTGATTTAGAGTTTTTGTTTTTGTTACAGATACAGACTAGATATGTTACCCTCCTAGACAATGAAGATGCTTTCATGGTATACAGCACACGAAGATTTGTATCATGTAGGTATTTGGTCATTATAATTGTACTTTTAACTCTTTTTATATGTGTTGGGTAACAAAAATCAGTTTTCCCGTTGAACAACAGTTTGAAATTTTATTACAAATTTGTCGAACATTTCTTTTATTCAAATATTTACTGTAATAAGTTAAGTAATTGTAAATATTCTAGTCTCCAATTTAGGATTTGACATTAAACATGCATCACATTAATTTCTGAATTGATTGCAACATCAAATATTCCCTATTTAAAGCTGATACTAATTTACAATTTTTGTTTTTGTTACAGATAGCGCCTAAATATGTTACACTCTTCGACAATGAAAATGGTTTCATTGTAGATAGCACATTAGGATTAGTCACATGTACGTATTTATTCATTACAATTTTTTTATTTAAACTTGGTTTATTAGCTCACCTGGCCCACAGGGCCAAGTGAGCTTTTCTCATCACTTGGCGTCCGTTGTTGTCCGTTAACTTTTACAAAAATCTCCTCTGAAACTACTGGGCCAAATTTAACCAAACTTGGCCACAATCATCACTAGGGTATCTAGTTTTAAAAATGTGTCCGATGACCCTGCCTGCCAACCAAGATGGCCGACATGGCTAAAAATAGAACATAGGGGTAAAATGCAGTTTTTGGCTTATATCTCTGAAACTCAAGCATTTAGAGCAAATCTGACTAGAGTAAAAATGTTCATCAGGTTAAGATCTATCTGCCCTGAAATTGTCAGATGAATCAGACAACCCATTGTTGGGTTGCTGCCCCTGAATTAGTAATTTTAAGGAAATTTTGCAGCTTTTTGTTATCTTGAATATTATTATAGATGAAGATAAACTGTAAACAGCCATTATGTTCAGCAAAGTCAGATCTACAAAGAAGTCAACATGACCAATATGGTCAATTGACCCAATAAGGAGTTATTGCCCTTTAAAGTCAAATTTAACAATTATTCGTAAATTTTTGTATTCTTTTACAAAAATCTTCTCTCCTGAAACAACTGAGACAAATTTAACCAAACTTGGCCACAATCATCACTAGAGTATCTAGTTTAATAAATGTGTCCGATGACCCTGCCTGCCAACCAACATGTCAGACATGGCTAAAAATAAAACATTGGGGGAAAATGCAGTTTTTGACTTGTATCTCTGAAACTAAAGCAAATGTATAACGGTTGCATTATTTCATGCATCAATTGTAAATAAAAATATCAGGTGAGCGACACAGGCTCCTTGGAGCCTCTAGTATTTGTTGGGCATTAAAATCAGTTTTCACTGAAACAACAGATTGAAGCTTTATAACAAATTGGTCTAAAATTTCTTTTATTCCTATTTATATTCTTATGAAGTATATTTTAATAAGAATGTATAGTTATTGTAAATATACGTCTCCAATTTAGGATTTGACATAAAACATGCATCACATTAATTTCTGAATTGATTGCAACAGCAAAAAGCTTTGATTTTGAAGCTGAAACTAATTTAAAATATTTGTTTTTTTTGTACAGATACTGCCTAAATATGTAAGACTCCTATACCATGAAAGATGCTTCCATTGCAGATAGCACATTAGGATGTTGCACATGTAGGTATTTATTCATAACAATTGTTCTTAAAACTATGTTTATATTTGTTAGGTAATAAAAATCAGTTTTTCCTGGAACAACAGCTTGAAATTTGATTACAAATTGGTCCTACATTACATTTATTGAAATATTCACTGTAATGAGATATATTTTAATAAGAATGTATAGCGATTGTAAAAATTCTTGTCTCCAATTAAGGATCTGACATTACAACATGCATCACATTAATTTCTGAATTGATTGCAACAGCAAATAGTCTGGATTAAAAGCTGAAATTAATGTTTATTTTTTTTGTTTTCATTACAGATACAGCCTAAATATGTAAGACTCCTATACCATGAAAGATGCTTCCATTGCAGATGCACATTAGGATAAGTCACATGTACGTATTTGGTCATTACAATTTTCCTTCAAACTATATTTATATTTGTTAGGTAATAAAAATCAGTTTTTTCCTGAAACAACAGATTGAAGCTTTATAACAAATTGGTCTAAAATTTCTTTCATTCAAATTTATACTCTAATGCTGAATATTTTAATAAGAATGTATAGTAATTGTAATTATATACTTTTCTCTATTTTGGGATTTAACATAAAACATGCATCACATTATTTTCTGAATTGATTGCAACAGCAAAGAGTCTGGATTTAAAGCGTAAACTAATTAATAATTTTTGTTTTTGTTACAGATTATACAGCCTTAATATGTAACACTCCTATACCATGAAAGATGCTTTCACACATTAGGATGTTGCACATGTAGGTATTTGGTCATTACAATTGTTCTTAAAACTATGTTTCTGTTTGTTAGGTAATAAAAATCCGTTTTTTCCTGAACAGTTTGACAAAACGATGCTTTATGTTAAAATGGGTCTTGTAAAAGCAGACCTCTGCAGAGAGCAAACTTTAGATTTTGATATAACATTGATGAATTTAATTGGCGCTAATCTCGTAAAAGCAGATCCCCCAGCAGAGCTGATTACATAGTATGATAACTTGTGTTTATGGTAAAATGTATTTAGTTTTTTTGTCTGGCTCTATTTCATTATCAACCAATTTGAAACTTTATTACAAATTGGTCTCAAAAAAATTTCTTCAAATTTATACTCTAATGAAATATATTCTTAATGACTGAGCTGAAGGACGCCTCCGGGTGCGGGAATTTCTCGCTACATTGAAGACCTGTTGGTGACCTTCTGCTGTTGTCTGTTCTATGGTCGGGTTGTTGTCTCTTTGACACATTCCCCATTTCCATTCTCAATTTTATTAATGGAATGTATAGTAATTATAAATATTCTTGTCCAACATGCAAAGATTAAATTCTGAAAAAATTGCAACAGCAAATAGTCTGTATTTAAAGCTGATATTAATTTATAGTTTTTGTTAAAGATACATCTAAATATGTTGCACTCCTAGACAGAGAAGATGGATTCATGGCAGATAGGAAGAGTCAACATGTAAGTATTTGGTCATTACAATTGTACTTAAAACTATGTTAATATTTGGAAGTCAATAACAATCTGTTTTCACTGAAACAATAGCTTAAAATTTTATTACAGATTGGTCTAAAATATCTTTTATTCGAATTTCAAATGTGGTATATTTTGATAAGAATGAAAGAGTAATTGTAAATTAATTGTCTGTAATTTAAGATTTGACATAAAACATGAATCACATTAATTTTTTTATTTTTTTAACAGCCATTAAATATTCTCTATCTAAAGCTGATGCTAATTTAAATTTTTTCTTATGTAACAGATACAGCCCAGATATGTTCCACTCCTACCCAATGAATATGGTTTCATGGTAGATGCACATTAGGATGTTTAACATGTAGGTAGTCATTACAATTGTACTTTAGACTATGTTTATATGTGTTGGGTAATAAATATCAGTTTTACCTGAACAACAGCTTAAATAAAATTTTATTTCAAATTAGTGTACATATTTCTTTTGTTCAAATTTATAATCTAGTGAAGTAAATTTTAACATGAATGCGTAGTAATTTTAAATATTCTTGTGTCCAATTTAGGATTTGACATAAAATATGAGTGACATTTATTTTATAATTGTTGCAACAGCCAATAGTCTCTATTTGAAGCTGATACTAATTGATGATTTGGTTTTGTTATAGATACAGCCTAAATATGTTGCACTCCAAGACAATGAAGATGGTTGCATGGTAGATTGATCACACATCTGGATACGTAGCATGTAGGTATTTGGTCATAATAATTGTACTTTTAACTCTTTTTATATGTGTTGGGTAACAAAAATCCGTTTTCCCGTTGAACAACAGTTTTAAATTTTATTACAAATTTGTCGAACATTTCTTTTATTCAAATATTTACTGTAATAAGTTAAGTAATTGTAAATATTCTAGTCTCCAATTTAGGATTTGACATAAAACATGCATCACATTAATTTCTGAATTGATTGCAACATCAAATATTCCCTATTTAAAGCTGATACTAATTTACAATTTTTGTTTTTGTTACAGATAACGCCTAAATATGTTACACTCTTCGACAATGAAAATGGTTTCATTGTAGATAGCACATTAGGATTAGTCACATGTACGTATTTATTCATTACAATTTTTTTATTTAAACTAGGTTTATTAGCTCACCTGGCCCACAGTGAGCTTTTCTCATCACTTGGAGTCCGTCGTCGTCCGTTAACTTTTACAAAAATCTCCTCTGAAACTACTGGGCAAATTTACACTCCTAGGCAATGATTGAAGATGCTTTCATGGTATACAGCACACGAGGATTCGTATCATGTAGGTATTTGGTCATTATAATTGTACTTTTAACTCTTTTTATATGTGTTGAGTAACAAAAATCAGTTTTCCCCTTGAACAACAGTTTGAAATTTTATTACAAATTTGTCGAACATTTCTTTTGTTCAAATATTTACTGTACTGAGGTGTATTTTTAATAAGAATATAAAGTAATTGTAAGTATACTAGTCTCCAATTTAGGATTTGACATAAAACTTGCATCAATTTAATTTCTGAATTGATTGGGTTTTTTTTACAGATGCAACTTATATGATGTTTCAGTAGTAGAAGGTGCAGCATGGCAGCAGAAGATGTTAAATTGAGAATCGTGAAGAGACAGTTTAATTCTTTAGAGAATAAATAAGATTATAGTTTATAGATGAAGATTATAAAAATCTTTAATGTTCAAAATATCAGATGAGAATTTGCCAAGTGCCCTCAATATGTCTACAATGATATAACAATCATAATTAAAAATGTATTGTAAACCTCTTTTTCAATATTCATATTAAAGAAAGTAGATTGTCAATTTAGATATTTACTTATTTACCTGAATTTTGGACAATATGACTTTATTTAGATTTTTTGAAATTCAAGTTCAAAATGTATATACATCAGATAGTTTTGGTTTGCCAGCAACTTCCATTGTATAGCCAAAAGATCAATTGTTGGTTGTAATTAAGGCCAGCTCTAAATAAGATCTTAAAATAGAAACTATCTTCAAATTTGACAAGTTACCATATCTACATATGAATAAATTAGAATAGTCTGTAAATATTCTGTATTTTCCTTTTTGCATCATCTTTTGAGTAACCAAATCAGAACACCCAGTTTGGTGAAATACTTTTTCCTGTTATATCTATCATTGCTTTTGTAAGATAAAAACAAAAATGTATATGCAGTTTTGTTAAATATATTTAAATTAAAAATTTAAAAAAAAATCAAATTCAAATTAACACAAACAAAATTGACTTTAACTTATGGTTTAGTTCATGCACCCTTTAATGTATATCTTAAAAGTTTTGTTGTGGACTAAGCAAATATCAAATTATCATTTCAGAAGTACATTTTGCTTGCATGGTATCATCTTCACTAACATTTAACATAGTGGGTTTCGGAGTTACTGAGGTAGTTCTTATTGAGGTGTTTCTTGTTTTTTTCTATGGAGGAATCAGTGGTTTCTATTTTGTTCAGGATATGGTTTTGTCATTCAAAGGGAACTGTCAATGTAATTCTGAAATGATATACATTTGGTATTTTATTGTCATTGAAAAAGAAACAGTATCAGTGCATGAACATTTGAACTGTGAATATATAATATTTAAACTTTATAATTTATAATTTTTAAATCGATTTTGGAAAGTTATTGTATCAAAATTAAATTGTATTTGACACAGTTTGATGGATGGAAATTGAAAATTAGAAAAACTTTGAAAACAAAATTCCAAATATAAATTTCTGCTTCATTAAAACATTTGGTTAAATGGATCTGCAAAATCACTGATAGCTAACATGGTTAATCCACTTAATTAGATAGTGTCGTTAAGTATAGTCTAATGGATCCTGTTGATATCCTATTAAAAGTATTAATGTATTATAAATTATATTCCTAAATCTAACATGTCAGACGCGAGAGACCCCCCTTTGTTATAGAGGGATCGCCCTTGCATCAGTGTCTTACAAATTGTACTGTAATATACTGAACTATAGATTAGCTCAGTGGGTAGATGATAACAATGTACTGGTTGAGGAACAGAATGGTTTATGACAACTTTGTAGTACAATAGACCAATTATCTACTCTTACTAATTTGATAAATGTGAGAAAAACACTTCCTAAATCAATCTTTTGCGCCTTTATATTGATTTTAAAAAGGCTTACGACACTACACAGAGATATTTTATGGTATAAACTAAATAAAATTGGTGTTGCACAGACTTTTTTGTTCTGCTATTAAGTCAATTTATACAAATGTTCTGTAAGAATAAACGATCATTTCACAGACTGGTTTGATGTAAACACTGGCTTGAAACAAGGATGTCCCTTGTCGCTCATTTTGTTCAACTTGTATATTAATGATTAACATTTCTTAAGTCCTTTGACTGCGGAATAGATATTGGTGATGAAAAACTGTATTTTATTATATGCTGATGATGTTGTTATAGCAAACGATGAAAAAGAGCTACAACTTTTGGTAAATGCTTTTTCTACATGATTTGAAGACAATTGTATGACAATTAATACAAACAAGAGTAACATTGTACAATTTAGACCACCATCTATTCCTAGATATGATGTAATTTTTAATTGTAATGGTCATACTATAAAGTCTTCTAGTAATGATACTTGGTCTCCTTTTAAACAAGCATTTAGACTATAATATCACTGCAAAAGCCGTTGCATCTTCAGCAAATAGAACTTTAAGGATGGTAATAGCCAAGTGTAAACTTTAAGGGGGTGTTTGTTTCGATGTATTTGTAAAATTATATGAAAGTTTGGTTTGTCCTATAATAGAATATGAAAAGGTATATGGGGTGTACAAAGATATTCTTGTATAAATTCCATACATAATGGGGCCTGTAGATTTTCTAGAAGTAGAAAAATATGCACCAAATGCTGCAGTTACTGGAGACTTGGGTATTAATGTATTATACGTTGATAATTTTATTTTATATTGCATTTTGATTTGTCAATACACACGTTTTAAGGTGTAGGTCAGAGCACCTGACCCTGGAGACGGGATTGCGCACTTGGCATCCACTGACACAGGTTTCTAGAGCTTTTTGATCGATTATATCGTTTTTTATCTCTAGTTGTTCCTGGCCGGCCTTGACTGTCTATGAAGGGGTGCATTTAGTCAAAAGTTGGTTTTGGTGTATTTAGGAAAATCATGGAAGTATTATATTTTACTTCCATGGGATAATATATACCTAGGAATTGTATGATTTTGAATTATATATACATTGCAATAATAATGATTTATTGAATTTGTGAATATTTATAATACAATCTGGCATCCATCGAGCATGACGGGCTGTCGGCAAACTAAGATTATGTTTGCATTATTTATATTTGGCACAAGTATGTAGTTAATACCACCTATTTTTGATAAGCAGTGGAAAAGTATTATTCGTTTGTGGTGTAGATTAAATAACATGAGCTGAAGTCTGATAAATGCAAAAATTCATTAGTGGGCTGATAGAATGAGTGTTAAGCATAAGTGTGCTGAAAACTGGAACTTTTTATCTTGTCCTGAAAATATGGACACAAATTATGTTGTTAAACTTTTAATGTCAGAATGCATTTCATTCACAGAAGTGCTTTTCTCAAATTTAGATGTGGTGTTGCTCCACTAAGGATTTATTTTTAAACTGGGAAATATGAAAATTATTGTTTTAGCGTGTGCCATATATGTTATAGTTTTATTGAAGACGAAGCTAATGTTTTATTAAGATGTCCTCTTTATGAAGATTTTAGAAACCATTTATGTTATGTTGCTGAAACTTATAATGAAAATGTTAATACTTTAGATGATAACCAAAAGTTAGTGTTTTTATTCTCAGATGTGTTATTCTCAGATGTAAATATGATACATGTGTGTTCTAAAACCTGTTATTTGAATTTAAAAAGGCGTTGAAATTTTATATATGGTAAATACATGTAGTACTTTATTTCATATTGTTTAATGTATTATATCTATGCATTTTAATAGTCTTTATAATTCTGTATAGAATGGTTCATTTTATTTAGTATTGTTTTACAATGTATAAATATCGATTGTAATTGTCGAGAGAGGAGACGGTCATAAAACATTGAATTAATTGAATTGAGTTTGTTAGTATTACAATCAATATTTGTGTATGCCTCGCACAAAAATGTGCAAGCAGGGCCGTACTGGACATTTTCAGTTATCAAGGTTTTTTTTTTTATAACAAACACACTGAGATCTGGTATCCAGGAAATTAAAATGAATCAACAATACTTTCATGTATTTTGTACAATTATATTTTTTCTAATTACACCTTGCTCATGATGCAGATCTGTCTTCATCTAATACTATGATGATGTACTACAGTGGCATAAAAGTAGTTTGGTATTTACCATGATGCATTAGAATTAAATTTCCCCACGTTTCAAGCAAGGATTTGTATACAAATCCTTGTTTCAAGGAATAACATTGAAAAATAATTTATAAGCTAACACTTCTAGCCAGCAGTCTGTTTTGAATGATAAGGATTTTTTTTAAACTGTTCAAGTATACCTCCTTAGACAATTTTCCTAGCATTGGGTATTGGAATTTTCCAATTTTTTCTCCACTACATTTTCAGTTTTTAGTTGGTTGTTCCATGTCAGCGGGGTCGTCGATGATAGAATTTTTGCCATTATTTGATATTTCTCATAAAATAAAATGCAAGAGCATTTCATCAATTATAATTGCTACGATTTTCTTTATGTATTTATGCTTATCCTTGTATGCATGTTTATTGTTTTAATGAAGATAAAATCCGATGTCCAGGTTATCGGCAATATGAATATATTATTTGTTTTGTTAAAGCCTAAATATTTGGAAAGATTCGTAAATGAATTTTTTTTTTGACAAAACCTATGTTACAGCTCATCAACTTCCATGGTGATGCATATGTCCATCCATCCCTTTGTCCTGTCTCAAATTTGCTTTCCACTCCGATTAAATACAATTTGCCTAATGTCATGGACAACAATAAAATGTAGGTCAAGTTCGATTTTGTCTTAGTTACCTTTAGAGGTGTAATATTACCATTGTTTTCCCCCATTAGTCTTTGTTAGATTTGCACTCTTCTAAAAATTTATCTTTGTTCCAAATAAAGAAATACTTGGCTTTAATCAAGTTTTATTCTTTCTAGCTGTATGGCTACAGACAAAATTTCAAATAACATGTCATTGCATATACGATGATTACCATCACTGGAAGTTCACCAATCAAATGTTCTCCCCTTTTTTCCTGTGTACAAGCTTTTGTAACCATGTAACCTCAAGTTTCCTAAATAGTCTTTAGAAACACCAAACCAGAGGCTCTGACGATCCTGTGTCGCTCACCTGGTTCTACTTGGTTGTGGAAATGATGTAAAAATAGATTAAAATCATAACAGATACCATAATAATAATTGAGACCAAGTTTGGTTTAAAATTGGCCCTGTAATTTAACAAAAATCATGGTGGCCATCTTGAACAGTTAATCGGCAACAAAGTAGCAAGTCGCACATTTGCAGCCATCTTGGTTGATGGATTTGCTATAAAGTAACACTTGGTCAGTACCTCATAAGGAACATTCATGCCATGTTTGGTTTCATTACATTCAGTGGTTCTTCAAAAGAAGACTTTTGTATGTATTTCACATAGGGTCCTTTGTTAAACTAAGTTCCCCGCTGGAAACCATCTTGGATGATTGAATGCCTGCAAAGTAACAACACTTGGTCAGCGCCTCATTAGGAACATTCATGTCATGTTTGGTTTCATTCCATTCAGTGTTTCTCTAAAAGAAATCATTTGTATGTATTGTCCATATGGTCCTATGTTAAACGAAGTCCCCCACTGGCGGCCATCTTGGATGATGGATCAGCTACAATGTAACAACACTTGGTCATAACCTCATAAGGAATATTCATGCAATGTTTGGTTTCATTCCAATTAATGATCCTTAGAAGAAGTTCAAAATGTAAAAAGTTATGACGGACGACGGACGCCAAGTGATGAGAACAGCTGACTTGGCCTTTTAGGCTAGGTGAGCTAATAAAAAAAGAATGGTGCTTTGAAACACCCAAGCTATGTTTATGACTCGGATTTTTACATCGCGATGACCTTGAGGTCATCAGTCCGATGTATTGCTATCGCCTAGATTTCCATTATGTAAATTAGTTTTGGGTTTGTAACCGATCTATAAACATGATAAATATGCGCACGTAAACGAATGCAAAATAACATTCCTTATCGTTTGATATAAATACATCTCTTCAATGAATACTGATAAAAATATTTTTGTTTACAACATAAATTAATAATATGAAAATGTTTTGTAGTTAGATATATATATATATATAAGTAAAAAAATCATTGATAATATCAATGCACACGTACCGAAAAATTGTGTTAAAGCATGCGGAAGAATATCTCAAAGAACGTTTTGAAGGACCGGTAACTCTGTAATTGTTTTGCGGGAAAATATGAATGCCTACTCGTATCCAATCTTAGAAAAATCGAATTTTTACAGAAAAGTGTCCACCATGCACTTGCATTGCACTATTATTAGAATAGTAGAATAGAATGATATACAAATGGATGCAAATCATACATGTATGTAACTGTTATTTTAATATAATATATAACAACAAATCAGTGTATACTGATTTGTATCACTACAATATAATACATGTAGTTATTACGGTGAAGTTGAATTTCCTGTCATTTATTCATCATCCACGCACGAACTTGTCTCAGAAAAAAATATATCTCTGTACGTTAACCTCGGTTTCAGGTAAAGAGATATGTTGTTTTTTTTTTCTGAGACAAGTGCTTTTGACCATCCTCAAGAACTTGTGGTCATCCGATGTTCAGTACTTCAGTACTTTGATTTTTTTACTGCAATGAAATGTTGGATAAATTTTCTTCAACTGGCAAATTCAAGGGGATATTTTATTCGAACCTTCTTCGTATGCAACCGGATATGACGTCTGATGTGACGTACTATAATTTGGTGGTATTACACCTGTATTATGGGTTTCATCTTTTTTATGATAATACTGCATGCTCACATCTTTTGAAATAAACACATGTCTAGTTTGCTTTTGATATGGTTTTGACATTTATCCTTCAAAAGACCTGCTTTGGAATTGCTTAAAAACTACAATTCTTTGTATTCTGGATGGTGATTATAGTACCACTTGATCCTATCCTTAGAAATTTGTTCAGTTTCATTGATCATTGAGTACAAGGCAATGTCCACATAAATGGTTTTGACATTGACAGTACACTTTGACAGTACACGATTGCCCCTTAGTTACCTTATTTATTTATTCTCATCACTGTGTGCGTCGTTGTTAATTTTAGCAAAAAAATCTCTGAAACTGTAAGGCCAAATTTAACCAAAATTTACCAAACTATTCATTTGGGTATCTAGTTGAGTGCTTTCCAACCAACATGGTCGACATGGCTTACAATAGAACATATATAGGTTTCAAATGCAGATCTGTTTTATCTTGAAAACTCTTAATAAATAGAGAAAATCTTCATTTTTGCATTTTATCTTGAAAACTAAAATAAATAGAAACTTTAAAAGCAGAAAATACTAGCAAAATCTACAAATAGAAAATTCAACATGGCTGAAGTTGTCTTGGCGATTTCTTATTTAAGTAATTGCGCCCCTTTTCGGATGATTTTTACTATGTTTTGTGGGCGGTTTGTTAATATCGTAATACTCTTCACAGAGGTGAGAATATTTTTATTGCACCTTTTTGTATGTCCCAAATAGGGGTCATTGTTCTTTGAACCACAAAAATAAACCTTGTGGCCTCCAGTTTCTATAATGTTTATAAAGAAATAACCTTGTGTCCATTTGTTTCCGCCTGTATTCTTTGTTTCTTTAATTCTTAATAATATAAGGAAATAGATTTGAGTCCACTTGTGGCCACTATTTATATATAAATTTATCGCGGTGTCTAGATTTGTACTAATTTGTTTACCCCATACATATACGTGTATCCTGGACACAAAATGCATGCTAACTATATTTTGCATCGAAAATAAGACATATCTAGCCATTCATTGCAAAGGATTTTAAATTAGTGTATTCAGATTCTTTTCAAAGGTCAGTTTTATGCCTCTTTCAATTTTTTGTTTATACAACGTTTGTTCGGTTTTAGGGGTTGAAAATGGGTTCCAAAACTGAACTTCTGTCAAAATTATAATTATTTGTTTATGCCTTTTCAATCCAATTGCGTAATGCGCGTGTTTTTAATCTTAAATTCTAATTCGTAAACTCAAACGAACATAAAAGTATTTATCAAATAACCACAAACTCACATGGGAGACACCACTTGCAGAGACAAGCGCTCTTTTTATTATGAGTATTATAATGTGGAAAGTTCGTGTAAATACACCGAAATTAAGCAGCTGGTACTGTACACTTTGACTGAAATGGCTCTAATGACTTGAAACCAACTTAATTCACTCGTGCATGAACTCAATATCCAAATGGAACCGACCTTACTATAAATAACCAAACACGTGTCACTGATAAATTAACAACATTTTTACATGTTCGATTTTTGTACAACTTTGATAAATACATTGTCAGAAACATTAGCCATTTTGCATAGATATACTTTTCATTCGCAACGTCTCCAAAACCACCGAATGAGATTATCTTCCAAGAATCATCATTGCTATCTTACATGTACATCGATTAATGAACCCGAGGTCTTATCGAAGTTAAAAGTTCAAAATTCTTTATTTAACCTGAGACACATTGAGTGTATGAGAGGACAATAAACAAACATTATATACATAAATGATGGCAGGCGAGACTGTAAAAATACAGAGAACATATACCCAGATCGAAAATATGATATATATCATGTTTCAACAAATTATTTAGTGCTATAAAAGCACAATCTGAAACATGTTTTTTCTAAAAAAATTACTTCGAGAATATTTTTCAGGACCAAGGACAGATTTTTTTCGAACATGACATAATGATAACATATTTTATCGGAAGTCGATATTTTCCCGTAGCAAAATTTGAAAATTTAGCGAATTAAACTGAATGACTGAACCGAATTATTTTGACGATTTAATTAGTAAAATTAACCACGTTAATCTCCATTTTGTATAAATGAAGTATACAATTTGAAAGAAATTATGAAATTTTGAATATCGGTTAACTTAAAGCTGTGAGTTTCAAGATTACCGATTGGTAATATTTCAGAGTTTGAATACTGTATGCAATATAATTGAATATTGTGCAATAATTGGCATTTTGCCTTTTGTTTCATCACATTTCATTAAAATAATTACATGTATACTTTAACGATCTTCATGGCGTTTTGGTACACATTTTTAGTCATTTCTTTCATCCCTGAAATCATGGCGGAAAAAGGCCATATCCACTATGACTTCACATTTCAATATAACAGTAAAAAATACCTAAACGTAGAAAGCGAAAACAAAATGAGATGTTATATGTTATATGACTCTCTGACATGGTGCTAGCCTGTCCACACTGAGGTTGTAAGTTCGAATCCCGCACGTGACAGGTGCGCTCGACTCCGATCTTAATTGACAAGGATTGTCAGTTTTCCGACTGATGGTCGTTTGTTCTCTCCGGGAGCTCCGGCTTCCTCCACCAATAAAAACTGACAGCCACGAAATAGCAAAATAGGATTGAAATTGGCGTTAAACCCCAATCAATCAATCAATCTGGCATGATGCGCCTCGCCACCTGATTAATTTTGTTCGTATAAACCTTTATGTTGTTTTCGATTTACACAAATATGAGAGTA